ACCCCTACCCTAGTCTCACTCAGCTCTAGAGGCTAGAAAGGCTCAGATTGTTACTTATAGGAGACGGTTGGTTTACAGCCGTTGGATGATAATGATGAATAAACAAACCGATCAGCCGTGAATTTTGACAAGGCCAAGAAAATCCGGGAACTAGAAGTCTAGTAGTAGTTGGGAGGGAGTACTTGAGTCACTGACATGGGAAACATTCGGCCTTCCAAATCAAACTTCCAGTCTCCAGTCTCTCTTTCTCATCACTCATCAGACAGTCGTGACTACATGGAGAAAGAGAGAAGAGATTTTTCACTATAACTATCATATAGGGTAGTATATTATGTGCCGTTATATAAATTATGAGATATGTATATTAAAACATTAATAATTTAAAAAATAAAATTTTTCATCACTTACATAAAAATACGTAATGTTCCATCCGTATTCCCGTCCCAACTAAATTTTTTTTTAAAAGAGAGGGAGACATGCAGCGTCATTGCCACTGGGTTAAGTATCATATCAGCTGCAGTCGTGTGAACGCAGAGACAGAGAGGCACACCATGCACCCAAAGATATCACCAAATCCATGCATTTAATACGCGTAATCATGATTCCGATTTTTCTTTCTCTTTTTCTTTCTTGCTTAACCAAAAAAATAATAATTCACCATTTTCCCGCCTCATGCGCATCTTCCAGGCTTCCAGGCTTCCAGGCTTCCAGCCACATCCCACGACATATCCCAAGGGTTGTATTTAACTTGGCTACTCTTAAGATATTTTGTGATTAATGTACCAAATTTTGTGCTTATAATTCAAATTATTTATTTTATAAATTATTTTGTAAAATATTTAATAAAAATAAGAATGTTTAGTTAATTACTGTAGCAAATAGATAAACTGTTTATAATTCTTTTATCGAATTCGCTCATTTATTTTATATAATTAGATGACTACACAATTGGAATTACAATTTAGCCCGTCTAACCCAATTTCCGCATGTAATCAATCTAAACGGTTTGGTTTTGGAATTAAATATCAAGTATTTTATAATTATGAGTATCTGTCGTAAACAAATTTTGATTTGGAGTTTGGTTATAATTTTTGTTGTATTTGCCCCGAATCTATACCCAAAACTGAACAGCTTTCATTTTTAATACAAAAATATAAATATTTATTATATAAAGAAACAAGTTATCAATAATCATACATTATTAAAGATGAAAATTTGTACTATGCATTATATCGTTCATATGTGCCAATATTTCTCGATAATATAAATATTTATTATCTGCATTGTTGCCTTATTTAGTATTTATTATAGAGAACTTTAACGAAAGCTCCCGGTACTGTTCACTTTAACGAAAAACCACATTTTTACACTAAAAAGTCAATCCTGATACTATTCACTTTACCCTTTATTTTGTCCTTATAATTAAAACTCAAAGTTTTCAAATCATTTTCATTAGTTTTCCTTTTATTATATGCAATGTATGTATTGTATCATAGTATATATTTTTTTAATTTAAATTCAGTATTTCTTAATAATATAAATATATATAAAAATATTATAATAGGGAAAATGTTACTTAATAGAAAATCTGTTATTGGACAGGTACGGTTACGAGAAAAACCCGTTCGAAAATTCTGTGGTTTTAGGTTCAGGTATGGGGATGACACATCCAAATCCAATGCGTCCCGTTGCCATCCGTACTAAACGACCTCTATTTTATTAATTTTTTACAAAGATAATATTTCTATAGTGGTTTATAATATGAACAGTTTTAATTATGAGCACGAAATTTTATAAATCAGTCCAGTATTATCTTGAGGAGGAATTCCTCCTCAATCTTAAGGAGCCAAGTCATTACATTTTTCCTTTAAACTTCTTATCTACTAGTGCTATCTTCACTTGTAAGTATCTATATTCCTCCTATGTGAAAGACGGTTTTTGTAGCGAACTATAGTTGGAGCGTTATGTAACTTAATTTAGTTTACTCACTGCTAGTATTAGTAGAGTATTTTTGTAAAAGAATGATATAAGTAATTGCAAAATTAAACTAATTATTTAGATTGAAAATGAGAAGTATAATCAAACATAAGAGCACCTCTGGTTGTGGCAAGATCCATTCTATATCATAAATAAGAACCCTACTATTATGGCCTAAAGTAGTAATAGCTTCTGTGAATCGGTGATGAAGTTCGCCTATTGATAGGCGAGTAGAATGACCTTAGATGAAGAGAATCATACTACTAAAAGAAAAGAACTAATAATTTTGTATCAAACTTAATAACTTATCGGCGAACATTTCTAACCCTTGGAACCTTCGTTAACTCCAACAGGTGAGCACAATGTTATTTTTATATATCAATTTGATTATAGACACTTTTTACAAAAATTCAAGATATATACAAAAAGTCTGTTTTTTGGACGGCTTAGACTATCTTTAAGACCATCTCCAACCCTTAGAGTAAAATTTAAAACTCAAAACTCATTGGGGTAAATTTATCCCAACTTGCACCATTGGGGTAAATATGATTTAAAACTCAAAACTCATTTATGGGGCAAATTTAGCCTATGATTCCCCATAGATTAGTGGGGCTGACCCACCATATATGTATATTTTTTTTGGTTTTATATTTACAAATTCATTGAATCCAACGATTAAGATCTAACTTTATCAAATCCAACGGTAAAAAAAAAAAATCTAACAATCCAAATTTAAATCCAAAGGCTAAAGTAATTAAAAAAATATATTTTATCTGTTTTATATTCTTTCATAGTGTTCCACAAGTTTCATGGTGTCGATTTAGTGATTTTTCAATATTTATCGGAATCTAAATATTTTTAAGTTAAAATGTTCATAAAATTAAATTAAGATAGTCTACATAATATTTTTTTTAAAGTTACTTTAAGAAATAAATTATCTTAAATTCTTTCTTAAACAATCTCGGACTAAAAACTTAAGGCTTATTATATTAATACCCCACAAATGATTGAATAAACCACACATACTTAATACACCTCACATTTACTTTTTCAATTAAAAATTATCTTTATACACCCCATATACCTCTCCATAATACCCTCACACCCCCACATTCTCAAAACACACATTATATTTCTATATACACCCCAATTTCTTCAAATTTTATAATACTCATTTTTAATTTTGATGGATTGAATCTAGATACCCCGCTGTTCCCAGGCTAATTACTTCTGTGATTGACTTGTTTTTCGTTTCCAGCTTGAGAGATTTTTTTATCTTTGTGCAGATTGGAAAATCTTATGTCACTTTTCAAACTCAAGATCTTATGTAGCTTTTCTATAACAAAAGAAATAAAAAATAAAAAATAATTATTGAAAGTTTCAAGCTGTTGGCATTGCAATTCATATAGCTAGTTCAAAGGCATAGTTCTGAAGTTTTTCTACATAGTAAATGCCAGGATGTGATAAAATATGTGGTTGAAGAGAAAATAATTTCTTGCAGTCTCAGTGATTAATAGCATTGGCATATTCATAGACATTTTGTTAGGGTTTTCTCAATCAATGTGTTTGTAATTTCATTAGTTAGGATTTTGTTCAACAATGGAGGATGTGAGGGTTTTGATAATTGAAGAAGATATGTTAAAAGTGATGTGGGGTGTATTTGAAAATTTCTTTTTAAAAAAAAAAAACTTAATAAGGTCGAAATTGTCATTGCATAGTAAAATAAATAAGTAATTTAATATTGAATTTTTGGTGGGGTACATTCAACAATATGTGAGATGATAATAAAAAAAGCTAAAACTTAACCCAAAAGGGTTGGAGGAAAAAACCTGTTTATGGGTCAAAACCTAAATTTTCGGGGTTAAAAATTTTTGGTTTTAACCCCAAGGGTTGGAGATGGTCTAAATGAGATATCCAATTTTAAACATAAAATTTAAATTTGAACATTTATGTGGTACTTTGATCATTTTTTAAATTTTGTTCTCCACCTAATATATCAAATTTAAATTTAAATTATCATTTATTGCATTATTTATTTTTATAATTGTAATAAGTATTTTTAGAACAAAAAATAAGAAAAAATGATAAATTTTTTTTATTAGTCACTAAAAATAGATTTCAAGTTGTCAAATTTAGCAGCAACCACCTGTGATGTCATGTCATACCATGTAGAAATTAGCATTTTAATTGAAAAACACTTAAGATATTTTTTTATTGTTATTGTTGATAGAAGGCTAGATGAATTAAAGAAAACCTCCTTAAAATTGTTGTCCATATTTAGTATTTTTTTTGTCAAATTTTCAATTTCAGATTTTTGTTTTTGTGTTGTACATTCGATCACCATTTCTTCAAAATACTTTTCTATCTCTAGCTTGAGTCTTTTTTTCAAGTGCCAGATAGTAATGTGGTATTTCGTATGTCTTAATATGAGCAAAGAAAATGATATATTTTTCGTGTCTCTTCAATTATATTATGAAAATTTACTCCTCTAGTTGTCTCTTTCATGTTTTTTGGTATTTAATAAATTTATAACAAAATGATTATCAAATGGACTCTTCAAGAAGATAAATCATATAATAGAACTATTAACTTGTTGATAGTTATTGCGTTATAATTAAGTTAACCATTGATTTACTTCGTCTTCAAAAAAATTTCTAGACATAATCTAAACCTTATAATTGCCACAAAAAAATTAGGCATGAAACACGATCAAGTAGAGGAATGAATCAAACAAAGATACTTCGTAAGGGATGTGCTATCCACACATCCTAATTTACTTCTCATACACATTTTGATAATTTTTATCCGATGATCTTCTTCAATTCATTCGATTTGATAATCAAAAATTTAAAAAATATGTGAGAAGTAAAATGAGATGTGTGGATATCACATTCATTTATAATCATATTCGATTTTTGTTTTGTCAAATAATCATCTTCGACATTAGCTCAGTTATAATAAACAAGTGGGAGGGCTCTTGAGTGAAATCCTTTGAATCTGTACACATCAATTGCCAAAAAAAGAAACGCTATCTTTGCTCCTTTTGCCAGAATCGCTCTCTCTCTCTCTCTGTCTCCCTCTCTCCCAAAAGCTTCTGAACCGGCCCCTTTCACCTTCCATGGCTGCTGAAATTACAGAAGGTTTCAAACGGTTGAACCCTTTTGCACCCGAGTACTTCCCCTCCTACTATTGCCCCCCACCGCCCCCGCTAAACCCTAGCTACTATTATTCCTCATATTCCCATCAAACTGCCACTACCGTTTTCTTCAATCCCTCTGTTCCCACTGCTCAAACCCTACCCTCTCATCACTTTGCACAAGGTCCTCAAGTGCCTGAAAAACAGCAGCAGAAAAGCTATGGCAATGATAGGGTCCAAAACGAGAAGACGACTGTTCCTCGTCCCATACGGCTAGTTAGGGGAAGAAGGTCCACTTTCAGTTATGGATGTCTAGGGAGTAGTATTGATGGTAAAAAGCAAAAGGGTAAGTACGAGAAGAGGAAGGAGTGGAAGCCAAGGGTTCGCGGCAGCTATAGGATGTCTGACGATAAATTTAGAACTATTAATTGGAAGGGATGTAATGATCTACGTGTGGAATACTTAAATAATTTCTCTATGCCGAAGAAGGTGAAAACCAAAAGTTACTCGGATGTTTTGCATGTGGAAGAACATGGAGAAAATACAGCCGTCATGATCAGAAATATCCCAAACAAATACACGTATGTTTATGTGTGTGTTATGTCCCCATAGGTTGCGTGATTTTGGTTATCTGGGTTTTAACTTGTCGGATTTATAATGTTTGATTGATAATTATCAACCAGGTTTTGTTTCTGTACTGATGATTTTGTTATTGACGAGAAACATACTAGCGGTTCAATCCTCTTTATTTTCTATTGCTACTGAATTAGTTGTTCAATTTTTTTAAAGCTTTGTTTCTTGGTTTTGAGATTTTGGTTGATAATTGCGTTCTTGAGTTCATCTAATTGGTGCACGTATATATATGCATCATGCATGGGCTGTTTTCTAATGAGATTTGGTTCAATTTTGGATTCTGTGAATCAAAGCCGGGATATGCTGATGGCGTTTCTGGATGCCCATTGTGCTGAGGAGAATGATAAACCGGATGTAGGAGATGAGATTTCGTCCTATGATTTCTTATATCTGCCTATAGACTTCAAGTGAGTTGTACTTACTACCCTACTTCACAGTCCAACTAATTAATGTCTGATAACTTATTTTTTGAGCTTTGTTTCTGAATCAAAATATAATTAATGAAGATACAGTACTGGTAATTTAGATGATTTTGATCTAATTGAGGCACATATATGTACACAGTACTGGGTTTAACAAAGGGTATGCGTTCGTCAACTTCACCAACAGCAAGGCAGTCTGGAAATTTTCTGAAGGGACTGGTGGGAAGACTTGGGATCTTTTCTACTCTTCAAAGAAACGTGAAATTGCCTACGCCAAAATCCAGGTACGGGCTTAATTAATATTGAACATATAAACTTTAGTTTCATGTCTATAATTAGATTGGAGCAGTCGCTCTAGATTCAATGTATAACTGATGTATCCATTCAATTTATAGCCTTGATTGATTTTAAAACGGGTGTTTATAGAATTAAATTGGATTGGAGAAAGTCATTGCAATTTAATGCGTCTTGAAGCAAGAAATCATTGCAAACTTGAAAGTTGAAACTTTATTCAAGTTGAAGTCCGCAAACGGATTATTCATGAACGAAACATGCATCTCCATATTCTCCACATCCTACCATTTTTGTGTTGAATTGAAGGGATAACCTTCTTCCGTGAAAAATCCAACATTATCTTGAATTTGGATACAAAGTGTACTAGTTGTATCTATTTCCTCATTTATACATTGCAATTAGCTAGCATTTCATTTCAATCTTATGACTTTATTAGGCGTCTGGGATTGACATCGATTAGATAATCTACTAAATTCATTGGTTATGACCGAGTCGAAGGTAGGAGCGGGGATTAGTAATGAAAATTTTCATCTCATGGAAGGAGAATTGTGATGTGTAATTGTTCAAAGTTTTAGTGGTTTATACAATTACGTTGCAAATTTTTAATTGATTCATTAATGTATGATTTTGATCTTGGAAAATAAATTTATATAGCAAAATATAATGAATGATACAATGGTGTTAGTGGTGATTAATTACGACGTAATTGGTGATCAGGGCAAGAAGGAGCTGGTAAGTCATTTCGAGACGATGAGGTTTCCTTGTGCATCAGAGGACGTGCTGCCGGTGTGTTTCGACCCACCTCGAGACGGTTCCAGGATGTCTGTTCAGATCTCGACTGTAGGCCATGCAGTGGATCTTAATCGACATGACAATTAAACGCTCGTCATATCAAAGAAAGGAGGCAATCATGATGGTTGTCGGTCCACGTCAGTCTCATATCTCTTTCTCCACCGTCAGATAATTCCGTACGACTACTGCCCTAGTGTTGTAATAAGAAAAGTAAGCCCTAGATTTAGTTTGGTTAAGTTTCCATTTCCCTGTCTGTTCTAGTTGGTCTTCCTTCAGCTTTTAGGATATGTAATGAGACGGTAGCGGTGGATGTACTAGATTGTTGCTAGTACAGTAGTGCATGTAAAAAGATGTAGACAGTTGAAGGCCAAACCCTAGAGGGGGTGGAGCTTGGCACCTGGACTTCGTCATGGTCTTTCGTGTCCATCGACATGGATATGAGGCCAAGACGTAATGGAGCAGGTGGTAGGTTCCACCTTCCATATATGGACGGCCCTGATTGTCCTGTTTTCCCATGGATAATGATGTCATCATCTCTATTTTAAACTTTTAATTTCAATTGGAGTGATTTTTGCACGCTTTTCATATTTCGCACAGGAAAATGTTAGGTCAGGGATATAAGTCGCATCCCTAAAATTTACAAAATCAATCTCCAACTAGAAGGCTAAAGATAATCGGACAAAAGAATTATACTAAGTTTGCCTTGGGCATTATCTATGCAGCTCCAGGCATGATAAGTTTTGCCAAAAGAAGTAAAATGAAAGTGAATAAAATATAGCTTTGCATGGAAGATGAAAAATTTAGTACTAAAGTAATTTTTAAAATATTAATTTTTGAAGAGCTAAATCATAATCAAAGTCTACGTTTAGCCTTCAATGACTTGAAGATAATTGTAGGGAAATCATACTTTTATACCAGTCATGTATTTATGATATGGCAAATGTGGTGTATTTGTTCCGTCAATTATTAAATTTGTTTTATTATATTTGTTACATTATGTTTTATATTTCAATTGGCCTTATTCAGGCTTGAAAAATTATGGTTCCACATTAAGAATTCCACTTGCTCCAATAAAATTAGAGGGACTTTTCTTCAACCAGCAACATCGAGTTTAAACAACCCATCTCGAAGCAGTTCCCAATGAAATGCAAGGGTTGGGGCACACCATATCACAAATGGCTGTCCAGAAGTCAGAAGTCGAGGGAATCTTTAAATTGGCACAAACTTTTGGGACACTTAGGCTGAATAGTAATGCGCCACATACTTTTCACTAGCATCTTCTTCTCCGAAGTAAGAATCTTGTGCCTACAAGCACACTTTATCAAGATTGCTCGTTAAAAAAATTAGATTTCTATATCATCTCTAGAAAAGATACTGCATAACCCTTTTTTTACATGAATTTAAGTGAAAAGTTGTGGACCGATCAACCATGTTATAGTTTATGGTTGATGTATCAATACACAAATCACTGTCCACACGTGCATGCCGCTAATTTTCTAGGTGATTTTCACCTTGAGAGTTCACCACCCCGATTAAGTCTAAAATACTAGATAATGTCGAAGAGTTTACGTTGAAGATTTTTGGTAATCATTGCATGTTTTTTTTTAGATTGAAATTTGTTTGTACCATACTTAGGGCCTCCGTATTTAGACATCGTATCGGGGGACTCAAATGTAATTATGTAATAAATGAAGGAGCAAATATGTAATAAGTGAAGAGCCCTTATTTTATAAAAAGGGACTCCTCACTCTCACAATGGGGGAGGCCTGAGATCCCCAAAGCCTCACTCTCACATTACAAAGCTCCCTCACCCTCACAATCATCTCACAAACAGAGAAATACAATATCAGTGTGGACGTAGCCCAAACATTGGGGTGAACCACGATACATCTTGTGTTCTTTACTTTCTTGCAGATTCACGGTCGGATTTACGTTGTTCCAAGACCTCTCTGATTTTGTGCATCAACATTTGGCGCCGTCTGTGTGGAACGACACGAAAAGCTATGTCGGTTCTCTTTCATTTTTTCATCTCACCATCGTGAAACCTCACCACAACCTCCATCGAAAATCTGCAGAAACCCAAGTACCAAACAACCCAACACCTACAAGCAGAGACACACACATTCTACACTACTCCCAATAGCATCCAACATTGGATTCCAGAAATCTCTATCCCTTTCTGTAACTTCTCTCTGAAATCGAACGGTAATGCCAAGTCCAATTCAGGACATGATCGACACGTACATGAGCATCACCGGCATGCCTTACTTACTCGCAATTCGAAAGTTGGAGGAATATGGAGGAAATCTCAGTGAAGCCGTGAATGCACATTTTGGGGGAGGGGGGGATATAGAGACTTTACAAATCCGGGGTCAGCTGCTAACCCCTAGTACAATTTCTCTCAACATGGCAAGCCTCTGGGTTGGAATCAATCATAATGTTAGAAAAAGAAAAAGGTGTGGAAAGTGAAGGGAAAAAGGAAGGGGGAGTGATGGTGAAAAAGTTGAAACGGGTTGTGTTAATGAGGAAAAAATGAGGGCTTTCCTCCAGTACGCCACCACCCATTTGGAGGCTCGACGATTTCTCTTCTCAGAGTCGCAGAGAACCCACCTCAAAATTCCTCATCCCTCACTCTGCAGCGTCACTCTTTGCTAGAAAGCTTTATTCCTCCGTCTGGGAAATTGAGCAAATGAGCAAAGCCGATGGTCGGCTCCGATGCAAGCAGCAGAGGAGAAATGGGGTCGGGATTTCCAAGCATCTGGTGGAGGTTGAGAGTCCTGCTGGCTCACTTCGTGACCAGCCATCAAGTGCAAGAAGCTTGAGAAGGCTTGTATCAGCACCGTCGATACAACACCATCAATCAGTTGAGAGCAATGGTTGTGCTCTCCAATCCCGATCTCCTGCTACTTGTAGCTTATTGGAGGTGAGTAATTATGTCCCTCTTCTCCTGAATATAAAAAATGCCCTCCCCTTGAAGATTAGGAAGTCACCCATCCTTCCCTTATTAACACAATAATCAGAACGACTGATCCATTGGATAGTCTATGAGTGATTACTTTAAGGGTAAAGTCAATTGATAAATAGACAACAATGTTGTTGATGGATCTATAGTGGAGCATTCTGGGGATCAGTTGTATTGTGTCTTTGGCACCAATGGAAAACTGTTAGCTAAACACAAGAAGATGCAGCTATTTGATATCGACATCCCGGGGAAGATTACCTGTACTGAATAAAAAACTCTCACAGCAGGGCAGACTCCTACCGTTGTGGATACAGCTATGCAGTCAACAGTATCGTGGTTCAGAATGGGTCGGTGTGGATACAGCTATGCAGTCAACAATACCGATGTGGATACAACTATGCAGTCAATAGTACCGTTGTGGATACAGTTATGCAATCAACAGCTATGCAGTCAACACCTCTGCCCTGCTACTTCTTCTTTCTCTTATGCCATCTGCCCTGCTCCCTAATCATCGTCAACACCAAAAACCCACCTGTAATCTCCGATGGGTCGGTGTTTTAGAACTGACCCACATCAGGAAACGGGAAATCGACGGCTGTGATGTTGGAGACGGAGAGGAATCGGACGGATGAGCTCGCGGTTTCATGCATGTGAAATCATTTTCTGATTTCTGAGAAAGCAAAAGGAGAAAGCCATGTGAAATCATTTTTTGAGAAAGGGAAAAGAGAAAGTAAAAGCAAAAGCAAAAGCAGAAAGCAAAAGAAGATAAAAAGAAGCAGACATAATTGCGGTGATGATGTCATGCAGAAAAGGGAATTATGGGCGTGACTTATTGAGCAGAGGGTCGGATTTATTTTTGAATGATGTAATTTATTTTTCTTATCTTTCGGAGACATCTGTATAATCCTATCAGAGGGTAATAATAAAAAAAATTAAAAAAAAAACCGCAAGCCCAAAATAATGGGCTGGAATACTATGTGGATGGAGAATGCCCATATGCCTAAAAGAGCCAGGCCCTATGGCTTCACATTTTTTCAGCACCCTGCAGTACGTTCAGTACTCCAAAATTATTCGGCAGCCTACCGCTATTATCACCAACCAGGTGATCAAAAGTACGCCCAGTACTCCAAAATTATTTGGCAGCCTGTCGCTATTATCACCAAGCAGGTGATCAAAAGTACGTCTAGTACTCCAAAATTATACATGAGCATCACTCATACATAAACATTCATGAGCATCACTCATGTCAATCATACATAAACATTCATGACCATCATTCATGTAAACATTCATGAGCATCACTCATGTCAATCAACTTAAACATTCATGAGCATCACTCATGTCAATCATCTTCGAAAGCTTCATTTACAGAGCTCCAGCTTCGAGAGCTCCAGCTTTAAAAACTTCATTTACAAAAGCTCCAGCTTCAAAGCTTCACTTGCAAAGCTTCACCTACAAAGCTTCAGTGCAGGGTATACAAATACCGCATCCGAACAACCGCCACTTTGGCCCATACATGGATTCAATTTGAAGTCTCCAGCTAACAGACTCTATTGACTGAAGACTTGGGGGACTCCATATATTGGGCTTCTACAACTGGGCCTCATGAAAAATACTTGGGGGACTTAGCCCATTATTTATGTATTAAGGAGCAAACCCTTATTCTATAAAAGGGACTCCCTCAATTTCATTAGAGAGCACACATCATTTATGTATTGAGGAGCGAGCCCTTATTCTATAAAAAGGACTCCTTCACTATCATTAGAGAGCATCGCCGCCAGCTGAGCAACTGCCTTGCCGTGAGCATCAACTCTTAGCCCATCACTTATGTATTGAGGAGCGAGCTCTTATTCTATAAAAGGGACTCCCTTACCATCATTAGAGAGCATCAACTCTAGCCCATCATTCATGTATTGAGGAGTGAGCCCTTATTCTATAAAAGGGACTCATTTACCTTCAACGCCACAAACCGAGCCAACCAAGGCAACATAAGCCACAAGCAGAGCAGCCTCGCAACATGTGCTACTTCTAGTTGAGCATTATTTCAGATTGGGCACTGCCGCATATCGAGTATCAGTTCTAGACGACATCTAGTTACTTCGGCCCATACATGGACTGAATTTCAAGTCTCCAGCCAAAAGACTCTCTTGACTGAAGACTTGGTGGACGACTGTTTGTACCATACTTAGGGAATCCGTATTTAGACATCGTATAAATACTCGGATGACTCAAATGTAATTATATAATAAATGAAGAGACAAACGTGTAATAAGTGAGGAGCCCTTATTTTATAAAAAATGACTCATCACTCTCACAATGGGGGAGGCCTGAGATCCCCAAAGCCTCACTTTCATATTACAAAGCTCTCTATTCCTCACAATCCTCTCACAAATAGAGAAATATAATATCAGTGTGGACGTAGCCCAAACATTGGGGTGAACCACGATACAACTTGTGTTCTTTACTTTTTTGCAGATTCACGGTCGGATTTACGTTGTTCCAAGACCCTTCCGGTTTTATGCATCAACAAAGTTAAACATCATGTTCCTAGTTCACCCCAAAACAATCTCGCAGAAGCGGTCATAAAGTGCTTAATCAATTGGTTGCCTAAACCTTAATAAACACACCAAGTTTTTGGTTCTGCCTATGGCTATGCAATCTTGTATGCAACTATGTTGGTCCGCATGAGGCCTATTTCCACCTAACCTATTTTTGGCGTAACAGTTGGTTACTAGGTACGACATGAAGTATATGAACCAAGTGCACCGCCGCAACATATCCAACATGGGTCCTTAAAAGAAGGATATGAACCTTTGTTGATTATGATTCTCCTTTGAATAGCCCTTTAGATCCCTTGCAAGAGACCGCTTATTTTACGGATTGCCATTTCAATGAGACAATATTCTTGTCATTAGGGGAGATAAGAGCGTTAGCTTTCCTAAAGAACGGAGCTAATTGCCATGAACGTGACGATTATGTCTCATGTCTATCTCTATACTACACAAAATGATAAGCAAGTGTGATGTTTCTAGCTTTTAGAATGTTGCTTCACACGCATTTTTCTAATCTAGCTAAAGTGACAAGATCATATATAGTAACTACAAACGTGCATGCAAGGATAGCGTAGCTAACGAACTTTGAGTTTACATCCCTGATTGAATGTGCCATTCCTGAAGGATGATTTGTCATCCCTGATAAGTTATTTCCCCTTTATATAGGCACATGGTACAAAAAGTTGCTAGCCAATCATTTGTCCTTGGCTAAAAGCGTGGCAAATTACTTTGTTCCTAGGATTCACTACCTTAGAAGAGGGAGGATAAAGCATAAAATGAATGCCTACTCGATCACTGTCTCAACCGTTCCATCTCATGAGATTAATCTGGATTATCTCGAGACTTGAAGCTCTTGGTCCAATATACTAGCTTGGGTAAGATATGAAATTGGAATGAAATTATCTCGATGATGTTTACTTGTATGGTAGCTACCAACATAAATGAAAAACGACGATGTCGAACTCCGTTCCATTGATTAGTGACAACGTAGAACTTATTGGTCAAATTACAATCCGGGTGAATTATATTCCTTATCAAAGTGTGGTTGGACCTATGGTTCCTACAATGCCTAAGGTAACCCTGTCATGTTACAAGTAGGAAATGAATTGTGATGAGATAAATAAAATTGTGTGATATAATGCAAGCCTTATAGCGCAAAACTTCTCTCAAATGCCTGGCAATCGATTGCAACCAATGAATGTGGTATAACGTCTCTCTACTAGGATTTGGACACGGAAGATTTGTATGTAAGCTCATAAAGAATTACATGATGAGGTGTCCACTTTGGATTCAAACAATCAAGGCAAATTTGGTACATCCGTCTAAGTGATTATTTGATTAGCCATGAATATGTAAATAAACTATGCCTCTAGCGTGTTCATTAAGAAGTATTCCGAATTTGCTAGAGTTGCAGTTTATTTCGATGACATGAATGTCACTAAGACTCTGGAAGAGCATTAGAAAAATGCCTCGGACCTGAAGACGATAATTGAGATGAAGGGTCTTGGGAAGACTTCATGTCTTAATATGAAGTTTGAGCATTTCTGACGGTATATTGGTCTACTAGTCAAATCAAAAGGTGTTGCTTTTGAGTACGCCCATTATCATCCACACACTAGAAATAAATGAAACTCTTGAAGATGTTTTGGAACCCGGAATTCTATATCTAAGTTCAATTTGCACTTTAGGGTAGTTAGCTTATTGCATTAGGCATGACACCTCCTTCACTAATGATAAGATACAGCACTATGCATCCCCAACAGATTCAACCTTTCTGATCCTGAGAATGATGCTTTCCTTTTTTTGTTATGCTTATGTCGGTTCCTTATCAAACTCGCACCAGGCACGATCCCAAATGGTTATGTATTTATCGATATGGGACACCGCAATATCTTGTAGATCCACATAATAGACCTTAATTGCGAAATCTTCGAATCGTGCTAAGCTCACTGCACCTCACTATGCCACACGTGAGAGATATGGTTGAGATCTCTTGTCGATCATATTTGAAGTACCTCCGGAGTTCCATCCATCATTGGGTTCCAAACTATCCATAAAACAATGCCGATTATATCAACTACACAATCCGAGAAATCAACACCAACAATGTTGTGCCATCGAAGTTCTTCTTTACTTATTAGCAAAGCATCAAAAGATTGAAGTTAAGGAGATCCAATCCTAACACAACCTCACTGATCTCTTCACGAAGTTATTGCCGATGTCTATCTTCTAGAAGCTTACCAAGGTATTGTGTCATTTGACTTATCTCATTTGCAATATTTGTAGTGTCAGAGGGAGTATCCTAAATTATACTCGCTTTACTTTAATGTACCATTTCCCCTAAGATCAGGAGTATTTTTTTCTGTTGAATATTTGCTAACTTGATGAGGTTTTAATGAGGCACCCACATCGGGATGGACAAACCTTGGTGTGCATTTTCTGCAACTTGATGCATTTGAAGATGACAATGCATTAACTTGCCTTTTTCTCCTTAGACTATGGGTTTGTCGCACACTCTGTTTCTTGTAGCCAAGTTTTGGTGAGACTTTATCCTTTTTATGCATCCCTACTTTAAGACTCGTGTATACATTGCTTGTACCGAACCAGAACTGACAACAATCCCCATCTCCTAATGATGAAGACTTGATGCAGTTACTTCTTAAGTTCTACACACTCAACGAGGAGTGATATAAATAGTGTTCTACTTTAAGTGTGATTGTGTAAAACAAAAGTAAGAGTCCAATAAGATCTAGAATATCATTTTCTTATACAACTTGTATTACTTGTAGGACAAGTAAAACCTATTATAATTGGTATAAATAAATGTATTAGCATGAAAAACGTGAATTACACATGTACTATTGAAAAATATGTAAAAATAAGCTTGTATTAAACAAAAAAAAAACTATATTACATTTATAATACGCGAATTTACTAATACGATCTGCTCTTGGGCTTGGGCGGATTATTATTAGAGTGACTCTGCGCAAATCCAAGGCCCGCATTATTAATAGACATCTTTCTGGTTGTTGGGTAAAGCTAAGAACCAGCCGAAAAGAAAATGGCGGCGGCAGCAGCAGCAGTAGGAGCTCCAACCTGTCACCGGCTCCACCTCCTCCTCCACCGCCCACCACCACCATCATCTTCTTCCTTCTCCCTTTTCCTCAAACCCCTTCTCACCTCCACCACCACCGTCACCACCACCACCACCACCATCACCATTCCATTCTCGCACCTCCCACGCCGCTCACTTATCTCCCATTCCCTTCCTTCCTTCTCCTCTCGACCTCTCTTCTTCTGCCACTCTCCCACCGCTACCCACTCTCCTCCTCCCCCCAAAGCCTCTTTACAAGAAGAAGAAAAAACCCAACAACTCGAAATTCCAGAAGATAATGATAATGGTGAAGAAATTGAGATCGAAATGGAGAACTCGGATAATAAAGAGGATAGCCAAGTGAGTTCGGAGTCTTCACCTGCTCTAAAGAGAGATGGGGTGAAGCCGCCGACGCTGACGGTGAAAGAAAAGAAGGAACTTGCGTCTTATGCTCACAGCTTGGGGAAGAAGCTCAAGTCCCAGTTGGTGGGGAAGTCCGGCGTCACAGCTAGCGTCGCCGCTTCTTTTATAGAGAACCTTGAATCCAATGAGCTTCTCAAGGTAAATTCTTATTCATTTGTTACTTATTATATTTTGGAAAACAAGATTTTGGTGGTTCAATTAGTACCCAGTTGGGGTTTAAGGGTTTATGCCAAGGTTGAGGGATTTTATTGTGCTAGTCTGAAATTGGTATGCTGTTATTGAAGAGAGTTTCTGCTTTGCAAGTTTCACTATGTCAGATTTGTCCTAGGAATGGATTCAAGATTGTTTAGAGTCTATCCTTTTCTTTTTTGTCACAGAAATGTTCACTTTTTGAGTTCTTCAGTTTTCGAAATGTGAGATTATTGGTTCTGACAGTTGTAGAATACATCTGTGTTAGCTTTCTCACTGCTCTTTGAATATCTAGTATCAAGGGATTTTGGTCAGAAAGATCATAAATCTGTACTCCATAAATTGTTCGCGAGGATTGGACTGATATTCATCTTACACGTAGGGAATTCGTCGAATTATTTGAGGATTAGGGCTTTTGTTGAGTTGAGATGATATATTGAGCAATCATGCTTAGGTAGTAGCAGCTTCCCTTACAATCACAGTTGAGTTAAACTTCATATTAGAAAAAGAAAACAGAGTTTACAAATGTACGGTGTTTGTAGCATACACTGGGGGCCTTACTTCAGCTGCTCGGAGCCTCAGACTCGCATAAGAGGTAATATATCACCATGTCCCAATTAGGGGCTATGGGGTTGGTTGAAGCACCACAAATTTAAACCAGCAGTATCCAACTTAGTTTTGAATGTCGGTTCATGTAACTGCTGCATATTCTGATACAGAACTCCATAACAGCTCTCCATGGGAACTGAAATCCAGAAAACTCAACATATCTCTGGCTTGTTGAGTTGAGTTGATTTGAATGTCTGTCCACGTATCCAACTTGGTTTTGAATGTCGGTTCATTTGTTGTATGCCATTCTGTTTTGTTCCTTGATTATACTTTTACCAATTAAAAGCAAAGAAATATAGATGTGCTTAGCTAACACATATTGTCACCCAATGTTCTGAACAGGTGAAAATACACGGGACATGTCCTGGTGAGCTAGAGGATGCCGTTACACAATTAGAGGAATCAACTGGTTCAGTTGTTGTTGGCCAAATTGGTAGAACAGTGATTCTTTACAGGCCCAGCATCACCAAGTTGAAAGCAGAGGAGAAAAGGCAGCAGTCGCGAAAGATATTCATGAGACGAAAGACATATTCGAGACCCACAGCAATGGAATTTCAGAAAAAGGGAGAAAGACCAAGAATGAATGGGCGTGACAGCCGAGGGAGAACCAGGGTCTAAGTTCCTGCCACATATGGTTATGGTTATATAATTCTAGAACTGTGTTGAGAAGGTTCTGCGGTAAGGTGTTCTTGCATTTAACTTTAAAGCTATGCATGTTTGGATACTATGGAATTTTTGTAGCAAAATCAAATTTAAATTGAAAGTGAAGTAAGAAAAAAAGAAAAGAAATTTAAAACTGGATACGTGCGGTATGATGTTGAGGACAAAAGTCGACGTGTTTGACAAATGTAGGATGAGGTACTTGCAACATGATGTTGTATTTTGCTTGTTTGGATGAAATCTGCACTGTACTTAATGGTTATCAAACTGGCATTAAGATTATAACTCATTTAGGGGGATGTATTCAATTGGGATTTTTGAGGAATTTTAATTCTTTTAATGAATCTAAGGGTGTTCAATCAGAATTTTAAGTGATTCTCTGAAATTTAAGATGTATTCAATTAGAATTTTAAGATAGTTTATTAAAATCATTAGAAATCTGTGTATATTCAATTAGGATTTTAAAGAAGTTTATAACATTCCTGGTGTATTCAATTAGAAATTGATTTTAAAGAATTTGAGAAAGTTGAGGAATTACAGGGAATTGGAGAGATTTCGTAGTGTATTTTAAGCATCTACAAATCTCACATCTCCCCATGAGATTTCGAGGGAATTGAATCAAAATCTTATATGAAATCTCTACAAATCAATTAAACTCTATAAAAATTCATGGATTTATAAATCCATTAAAGTCTCTCAAATTCTTAATTGAATACTTCCCTTTGTTTTTTCATTGAATCCAAAATTTACGTTTTCCCGAGAGCAAAGGATAATAAGGAAGGGATCCGATCCCTTCCATCCATATCCAAAGGATCCTTCAATCTTATCCGTTCATAAAGAAAATCGAACGGCCAGAAAACAATTAGGAAGCCTTGATGCCATCGGAATGAGAAGAAGATGCGATGGCAGCAACGGCCATGGAATCCTTTGCGTCAAGATGTAGCGGCGATGGCGTTGATAGGGAGAGGTTTGAGAGGGGCGTGGATGTGGAGGTGTTGATAGCGGGAAGGTTGAGAGGGGCGCGGATGTGGAGGAGATGACGGCGTTGTTGGGATCAATGGCTTCACAGTCCTATTTTGAGGCAAGGTTGCAGTCGTGACATTGCAATCCTGTTCGAGGAGGGAAAATTAGCTGCGATGGCTTCCTGGCTCTATTGGAGGCAAAGCCTTGCAGACAATCTTCAAGATCCGAAAAGGATCAGGTTGAAAGAATTCGAAGATGATCCTTTCTAGATTTTACATCCTCTGGAGACGATCTACATGTGGTTATAGCTCCAAAGTTATCTTTTATGAAATTTTACTAATCCGTAATTGGAATCAAAACATAACAGTGCATTATTATATTCTAAGAAGAAAAATTTGCACATAACAGTGCATTATTAGATAAGAAACATGTGGCGGTGAACCCATTTCATGTAAGTCGTCCTTACCATCCTTGTTTCACCGCTTTGTCAAGCAATGTGGCCACAACTTTTTTCTATATTGAACCCAAAGCTAAAGATTTTCTCGTCATGACAGAATAGGTTCTTTGGAATCCTAGACTTCTAAAGAACCTACGCTTTCTGGTGCATGATGACAAATTGGCAATTGTTTATTTATTTTCATTACAAGTGATCTCCTACGCTAATGGAGAGGAATGAGGGTTTGAAACCTTGACATCGTGGGTTCAAAACCCTAACCACTAGGACGATCCACCACTTACAACAGTTGTTTATTCTCCCTCTTTAGTTGCTGGAGGTATGAGCACTGTGGCACCACCAGTTACACTGAAGACACATGAGAAACATGCATAGGTATATTAGATTGTTTTAACATTGCAGATGTCACAATGTTGGAAAGATGGCCTAACCTGTGGTACCACAACGTTATTTTGATTTGCTGTCCAAGAAAATAGGATTATGTTGAAGTGAATGCAGATGGTTGTTGTGCTTTATTAATGAGATGTTGTGGAATAGAGAAGGGAATGGGATATAAGCCAGCTCTACACAGTCCCTGTAGAAGGATTCTTTATGTGACCTTGTCTTGGATCCAGTAAGAGAACTCATCATATATAAATCTACATTTGTTATCCTTACAAAGTTTATAAATGGATAATAAATGTTGAGATATATGAGGAACATGCAGAATTTTTTTTCAATTCAAATGCATATGTAGGTGTCCTTAGTGTATTGGAGCCAATATGAGATATGTTCAAACCTGAACCACTGGCTGTGGTTATTGTATCTGTGCCAGAGAAGAGAGTTGCAAGATTAAGATTTGCCAAATCAGAAGTCATGTGAGATGTTGCTCATGTATTAGCCACCCAAAACTAGTCCTGAGGTGCTGATGGTTGAAAAGTTGTATGCATAGTAGAGAGATTTGGAGAAGGAGCCCTTCCTTGGTTTGAGAAATCAGTTATGTGATAACATTGTAAGGCAGTATGTCCAAATTTCCAACAGATTTGACATTGTGGCCTAGAAGATGGAGTAGTGGCGGATGAATGTCTCTAGAAGCAGTCAACATGAATGTGACCTCGTTTATTGCAGATTTGGCATGTTGGAATATCATAACCATGGTTAGGACATGTAGAAACATGTGGTTTTCCTGGACCAAGAATTCCTGCACTGGAATATGAAAAACCAGAATTGAATCTGTTATTAGAATTATAGTTGTTTCTACCTCTTCCTCTGCCTCTGTAGTTGGAACTGTATCCTTTATTATGATAAGAAGAACCACCATTATAAGTACCAGTGCTGGTTGATCCATTAGGACTATAGTTCTGTGATTGAGATTGATTAGACCCTTCTCCCAACATCAGAGTCTTTCCTTTGTCTTTGTTCGCATTTGCCATCATTGCAGACACAAAGGTTTCACTCACAGAATTATTTTCAACAACAGCTTTGTTTGTACCATACTTAGGGCTTCCGTATTTAGACATCGTATAAATACTCGGAGGACTCAAATGTAATTATGTAATGAATGAAGGGGCAAATATGTAAAAAGGGGAAGAGCCTTTAGTTTATAAAAGGGCATCCTCACCCTCACAATCCGGAGGCCTTACTCTCACATTACAAAGCTCTCATCCTCATAAGCATAGAGCTTTCTCAAACTCTCTCTTTCTCTGAGGGACTCCCCCTCACCCTTGTAACCCATACATACAGTTAGAGAGAAATACAATCAACATCAATGTGGACGTAGTCCAAACATTGGGGTGAACCACGATACATCTTGTGTTCTTTACTTTCTTGCAGATTCACGGTCGGATTTACGTTGTTCCAAGACCTCCGGTTTTGTACATCAACATTTGGCGCCGTCTGTGGGAATTGACACGAAAAACTATGTCGGTTCTCTTTCATTTTTTCACATCCACCGTGAATCTGCAAAATCTGCAAAAAAAACCCAACAACCCAAAGCTTTCCCAGAAAAACCCAGGAAACCAAATACTCTATCTCTCACTTTGTTATCCTCTTACAAAAAGATCTGCAAAACTCAAGAGATAACCAAAACTCTCTAAGCCTCTCTCTTGCTTCTAATCTCTTTCACTTCTTCAAACAAAACTTGCAGTGCCCCGCGCCTCTCTCTCTGCTTTGCCGTTTCTCTCTCCTAGGGTTTTTCCTCTGCTGGAAACCCTCACTGTAAAGCACTCGTCTTTCTGCCGTTTCTATGCCGGATTTCAAAGCTTAGTTTCTCTGCTCCGCCGTAGGAAGTAGGAAGAACCAGTAGTGTGATTAAGCTCTGAGATTTTGATAGGAAGTGAAGGAGAATGGCGTTGTCGTTGAGAGAGGGTGGTTCGGATCAGCCACCTCAGCAACCACTGCAGAGGCGGATAACTCGAACCCAGACCGCCGGGAACCTCGGGGAGACGACTTTCGACAGTGAGATCATGCCATCATCCCTTGTCAAAATTGCCCTCATTCTTCGTGTTGCCAATGAAGTCGAAACCAACAATCCTAGAGTTGCTTATCTCTCTCTAAACTCCCACGTCCATGGCGGGCCCAACTGACGTCTCAGCGGTGCTCGAGTTCCTGAGGAAAAACAGGTTTTCAGAGGTCGAATCGGCTCTCAAAGAGGATATGATTGAAAATGACGATCTAGGTTCTTTCGATTACGAGAAATTCATGTTTCCGATGGTTCCTCGACTGCTGCCGGTAAGAATTCTAGCCAGCTTCCAGCGGTCTGAGGTTCAGGGCGGCAAAGAATGCTTGGGGTCGAGCTCGGCGATGGACGATGAGTTTGTGAGCGCGGGATCTTCTACTTCTAACAAGTGCTCCTCAGAATTCACGAACCCGTATGAAGTTCGATCTACATCTCCAAGCGTTTCCCAAGCTTCATCCGATAGGTTCTCTCAGCTTAGCACAGCACGCGATTACCACGATGTCGATATGCAAAATGACTTGTTCTGGCATGATGAGAAAGATGATGGAGACTTCATGACTCCTTGCCTTGAAAGGTCGGACTTATTCTCCTGTCCCATTGAGGATAAGTTCATCATGACTTCAGATACAGACAAAGGGAACGAGAAAGTGCTAGATCTGCTTGTGGTCCGATTTGCAGTCGCAGTGATCTGCTTGTGCATGATGAAACTTGCTTTCCAGAAAGCTCAGTGCTCTCTGCAACACCAAACCGTCAGAAGATGCCATCAACTTTTGAAAAAGAAAACTTTCATCATACATGTTCCCATTTTTTTTTGAAAGCTAGAGAAAAGCAAATGGGTGGTGTCGGAAAGGTTGTCCAAGCAATTGTCACTTTAAAGAAAGGAATATTGCCTTTTCACAGCTGGAGTATACTGACCTTTACAACCAACAAGCGGAAGTGGAAAGCATTGCACACCCATACCCACTATCATTGATGAATATTTTAGTAAGTTGTCTTCTGCAAACTAGAGCAATTATTGTACAGTTATACTGATGTGTAAAGAAGGTAGTGTTGATGCACAAAACCGGAAGGGTCTTGGAACAACGTAAATCCGATCGTGAATCTGCAAGAAAGTAAATAACACAATATGTATCGTGGTTCACCCCAATGTTTGGGCTATGTCCATACTAATATTGTATTTCTCTGAGATGTTGAAGAGGATAAAGAGAGCTTGTAATAAAGGAATGGGAAAATATGTTATAAGTGAAGAGCCTTTATTCTATAAAAAGACTCCTCACTCTCCTCATTATGGGAGGTCAATTCCTAGGCCATGAGAATCCTCACTCTCACCCTCAGAGGCTCTCACCTTCTCATCCTCTCACAAATAGAGAAATACAATATCAGTGTGGACGTAGCCCAAACATTGAGGTGAACCACGATACATCTTGTGTTATTTACATTTCTTGCAGATTCACGGTCGGGTTTATGTTGT